CCACCTCCACCGCGAGCTGAGCAGGAGGAAGTTTCTGCGCAACACGCCGGTCAACGACGTCGTAGCTACTGTGCTGGTGGAGACAGGAGTGACTCTCGACCTGATGGACGTTGAGAGGGAGCAGCGGGAGCTGACGTCACGCAGGGAGCAGCGAGTTCCTGTGGTGCGGTGGCAGCTTGCAGTGATGGAGCATGCGAACAGGGGGAGGGACTTCAGGAGCCTTGCAAGGGCAGGAGGGTCGGAGAGGAGGGAGGAGGAGAAGAAGGAGGAGAGGAAGGAGGAGGAGGAGGGAGGCAAGAGGCTGTCTGAAGACGAGGAGGAGGAGAATGGAAGGAAGGATGCGAAGGGTGTAGGGAGGGAGGAGGAGAGCGAGGTAAGCTGCAGTGCTGGATGCGATCATCCCCTCACCCTCGTCCAGATCAAGGCGATCCTGCGGTACGGCGAGTGGATCCCAGCGGCAGGAAGGACGCACCTCAGCGAGGAGGACGTTGACAGGGCGAAGAAGATGAAGAAAGATGTCAACGCGCATGTTCGCTTCCAGAGCATGTTCGAATGAAGCTCTCCTCCTCCTCCCCGGTTCCCCCTCCTCTTCTTCCGGTTCCTTCCCAATCCTCCACTCCCCTCCCCTTCCCCAACTCCCTTGGTCCTTCCTTTCCCCCTGTACCATAATCCTCAGGTTCCAGATCGCTCTCAAGCGTTCATTGTAAATCTACATCATCCCCTCCGTATGCTACATCTCTGCTATCATACACTCGCTCTCTCCTCGTCCCTCTCCCTCCTCTCAGCACTTCTCTACCGCCTCCTTCCTCATCGTAAGGATCTGAAAGTTCCTCAACGATCGCCGAAGCACGAGCTCGATGCTTCTCTTCAGCTCCTGCAGTTCCTCCCTGCTCCCCTCCTCTCCCTCCTGCAGCCGCTTCACCACCCCCGAAAGCGTCATGAGAGCCCAAGACGTATGGATCGACACAGGTCTGTAGTCCCTGAGGATCGCGCCAACGGTCGAGCAGCAAGCAAGCGCCTTTGTCCTCTCCCCGACCTTGAGCCATCCCATGGCCATTACCGACATTCCCAGGAGGGTATCCGAGGGGATGGCCCTGTTGGAGAACCTGAGGTGGTCCGCGAGGCGGGACAGGAGAGACAGGAGAGCGTCTCTGCTCAGCCTCTCCAGTCGAACTTCACATGCAATCTCAAGGCAGAGGCCCCACAGCTCCCCCTGCCAGTTGTTTCTCTTCTCCGTCGACGTCCTTATCTTCTGCGCCCATAACTTGGCGCACTCGTACTGGTTCAGCATGTACTTCTGCAGCCCGTAGTTGAACGACACCTCGTCCACCGTCCTCTGATCCCCTATCCTCCTTCCGAACTCCAGCGACTGCTTGAAGAGCACGGCGCTCTCGTCCGTCCTCCCCAGCGAGAACTTGTGAACGCCTCCCCACAGCAGGATCTTCGCTTGTGACGACACGTCAGATTGCGCGTTGATCCCCTCCAGGCTCTGTTTGATCACCCAGCTAGAAATCGAGCGCATGCCGAACACCTGCAGGGCGAGGCCGAGCATGGAGGTGAAAGAGAGGCGACGGCAGGTAGTCGCTTCCTTGAGCACGGAGACCTTCAACATCTGAAGGGTGAAGTAGAGCGCCTTCAGAGGGTTCCCCAGGTAGTAGTAGAAGTGGAACAGCCGCTCGTAGATCTGGATCAGGTGTAGGTAACCCTCCTTCGTCCCCCTCCTCCACAGCCGAGGGAACAGCCATATCAGCACAAACTCCACAGCAGCCTTGACGCAGCCCAGCCAGTAGCCGTGGCGGGAGGAAGGGATGGCGCGGCCGACGAGCTCAAGTGCTTGCTTGAAGCTCAGTTGGCACGAGTGGAAGTCGCCCGTCAGGAACTGGGCCTCTCCCAGCTTCTGGTAAAGACTCGCCCTCTCCTCAGTGGTCATGGCACTGCTCAGCGTCTGAGCATGCAGCGCCCTCTTGAACCAGTCGATGGCCTCGATGTGAGCACGGTTCCTTAGCGCCTCTCCTCCTGAGCTCGAGAGGTAGCGGAGGGCTTTGTCCCAGATCTTCGCCTTCTCGCAGTGCTGAGCGAGGATGGGATGCAGCGTGATGTGAACGTTGCCGTGCTGCAACTCGAGGACTTCTACGACCTGGGGAGCAAGAGGTCAGCAAGGACTGACGACAAGGAGAGGAGGGTGGGGGGTTGAGGAGAAGAGGAAGGGAAGGGGAGGAGGAGGAGGAGGAGGAGGAGGAGGAGGAGGAGGAGGAGGAAGCGTACCCTGGAGTGGAGCTCGATCTTGCGGGACTCGGGTAGGAGGGAGTAGCTGATCTCCTGGATGGCAGCGTGCTTGAAGATGTAACTAGTCTCTCTTCCATTCCGGCAGGGAGTGATGAGCTCGTGGTACCTCAGCACGTCTAGGTCACTCTCGATCGAGGACTCGTTCTCCGTTGGATGGATCTGAATCAGCAGCAGGAAGTCGAACTCCCTTCCTATCACGCTGGCCACCTTGAGCGTCAGCTGCTGCGACGCCGTCAGCCTGTCGATCCTGCTAGTGATCAGCCCCTCGATCGTGTCGGAGACGGTGAAGTTTGACAGGTCCAACTCGTCCAGCTGACTGCTCAGATTCTCCCCGCTGGCGTTGAGCGACTCCCTCAGGGAGAGCGCCAGCTCGGAGCTGAAGAGAGGGCTGCCCTGAGCTCTGTCCCGGATCAGGTCCTCGATCGCCAAGGGGAGCTTGTCGACTCCGAGGATCTGAACGACGAGCTGCACACAGTCCTCGTCGGTCATGGACTGAAGGACGTACCTCGTGCACGTCATCTCGAAGTTCTTGAACTCTGTCGGCTGAGGGGACGGCATCGGCCTCGTGAACAGCACCACGTGGAACGTCGGGACGATCTTGGAGACAAGGGAGATGAGCGCCCAAGACATGGAGTCAAACCACTGCCCATCATCGACGACCAGGACGAAGGACGTGGACATGCAGTAGAGGCGGAGGATCTCACACAGGAACTTCTGAGTGTTCTTTGCTCTGATCTCCCCCCTCATCTTCCTCGTCCTCTGGTTGTCCTCGAGCCCGATGGACAGGACAGAGTCCAGCAGGGGGGTGAGCTTGACAAATGCTTCCGAAAGCCCCATCACCGTCAGCTTCTCCTTGAGCATCGCCTGATGATCGGCCTTGAAGCCAGAGTCGCTGTATCTTCGGTTGAACTCGTTCCCCGCCATGCCGAACTCGTCGACACCGAGGATGTGCTGGAAGATACTTCGCCATGGCTGGAGGCGACGGTCAGGAGACATCAAGCGAGCACATGGGCAAGCTTACATGGAACGGTGTCGAGATCTGAACTTCATCCGCAGAAGCAAGGAAGCAGTTGAGTCCGCGTTCCTTGCCGATCTTGAGGAACTCAGTCGCCAACCTGGTCTTCCCGAGGCCGGCTTCCCCCACGAAGATGATCTTGTTGACATTCTCCTTTTGCTGCAAGCAATCCTCATCAGAGACCAAGGAGAGGGAGAGGGAGAGGGAGAGAAGAGAAAATGCTTTGAAGACTGATCAAAGATGCAGGAGGAGGAGAAACTTGTAAATCTGCTCACCATCGCAATGTCGGAGGCCATCTGAGCCAAGACTTCCCTCTCCTCCTTTCTTCCAATCATGCTCCCTGAGCAATTCACCTTGGAGCCTGTGGTCACCTTCTGCTGCCGAATCACGGGCCACAGCTCACACAGCCCGGCCTGATCGCCAGTCAGTGACGAGCACAGCATGACAAGCTTCCCTTCTCACCTTCCCCTTGATCGTCTCTACCAGCGGCTCTCCGAAGATGACCGCCTCCTTGCAGACCTTCTTAGTGCTGGTATCGCACAGGATCTTTCCCCGGGCCCGGTGCATCAACCGGGCCGAGAAATTAACAGCATCCCCTATCATCGTGTACTCGCATCTTTGCTCGCTCCCTATGATCCCGATGAACACTTTCCCCGTCGCGATGCCGATGCTACATCTCCACTGCGCCATGCTTACGTGCCGGTGCATCTGAAGAGCTGCCAAGACCGCCCTGGCTGCATCGTTACCGTGCGTCATGGACGGCATGCCGAACCCCGCCAGGAGGCTGATGCCCTTGTCGTCAACGCTGAGCTTGTTCAAACTTCCGCCATACTTGTGGAGGATGTCCTGCAGATCAATGAAGATCTGCTGCGCCTCCACCATGGACACGTTCTCATTCATGTTGGGGAGATTCACGAACACGACCGTGACACGGCGAAGCTCGTTCAGCCATCCCAGCTGCCCTGCGTCGATCCGAGCCTGACACTCGACAGGAATGAAGTTCTTTAGCTTCGCTGGCACGTCCTCAAACATGTAATCGTCGAGATCTTGCATTGATTCAGGGCGAGCTGAAATCGACTTGAGGTGAAAGAACCCTCCCGAGGACAGGACAGACACAGAAATCGACTCGAGCAAAGATTGCGCGTCCGATGATATCATGACATCTCCAGGCAAAGAGTTCTCACACGCAACTCCAGCTTCTCTGAGCGGCTTCCCAGTAAGAAAACTCTCCCATCTTCCATTGTTACCCCCCATAATCCCGATGTGCAGGTCGCCGCAGGTGACACTGATGCGCAAAGAAAGCTTCACTCCATCCTGGCTCGTCATGCTCGACAGCTCCTCCTGGATGCGAAGAGCGCAGCTGGCCGCCTTGCAGGTCGACAGGAGAAGATCGTCGTCTGAGGCATCCCACAGGGCCAGCAGAGCATCCCCCGCAAACTTGATCACATCCCCTCCATTGCTGTGAACTATGTCAATGAGCAGGCTGAAATACGTGTTGAGAATCTGCGTGATCTTCTCCACTCCTTCCGCTCCCCTCTTGGCAAGGCCCTCGGTAAGTGCAGTGAATCCCAAAATGTCGGCAAACATGATGGCGCATTTGCGCTTCTCACACCAGGGACCATCCTCAATGGGGTGCTTGTTGAAGATGCGAGGTTTCCTCAGGAAGTGCGGGATGAAGCGGAGGATGTCGTGATTGTACTCGAAGTGCTTGTCGCAGGTCTCCGACTTCGACATCTCCTCGAGGCTGTTGGCCTCATCCAAATAGGGGAAGTCGACATGCTGATCCATCGCATCCAAACAGACAGAGTTTGGCGAAACGATCAGCTCATCCTTGGCAGAAAAGTTCGGTATACAATGACTTTTCTCACAGGCGCAGTGTATCAAACTCATCGAAGCGGCTCCAAGTTACCGTCGAAGCTCCCTGTACAAGCAAAGCAAGTTTCTAGAATCAGCAAGTTCCTCGAGCAAGCTATCTCACGCTCACAAACCTTGCCAACTAGCAGCACTTAAGTTCTCTCTCCTCTGTGATCTTGAAGTTTTACTCAGCTTCTCCTCCTCTCCTCCTCTCCTCCATCTTGATCCGACCGCACATTGCACCTAGAACGCGCGCCTTGCATCGCCGCTCGACGCCTTGCCTCCACACCCACCCCTGGGCAATCGCCCCACCCCCAATGCTCTGACCACCCCACCACTGACAAATTTTAGTAAATTATTGAAACATTTTAATGCACCCCACCCACTTTATATGGTTCAACACACGGTACTTGGTGTACATTTCAGACTTTCAAGTTAACTTGAAATTAATGTTAGTGTACCCCACCTCCGTTCACAATGACCTTTCTCCTACACCCACCCCATCATTCTGCGGTCTCTAGAAACCTCTCATAAAAAAACTCCTTGCAAGTCTCCCCCACTTATCCACCCACCCACCCCCCACAACATAGTCGAGCCCACACCGGTAGTGAAAAATTAGCACCCCTGTTTTTCATGCACTCCACGTGTTATACCCCATCACAATCCATGACCACCGGGTTGTTTTCCAGAAGAAACAAGTCGAAATTCCATCTAGGATGATCACCCTACCCCAATTAGGTTTCAACGAACCTTTGAATGGCCTCTTGTAAGGACTACCCCCAAATATACCAAAACGTACCCACCCATCACCATCTTGATCAACTGTCTGCCAGTATAAAGACAAGTCCTGATCACCCCACCCCAAGTACAATACTACCCCTACCACCAAAATCACTCAAAATACCCACCCCTGTTAGTTGGATCCCCCAATCTAACCCCTCATGGTGTCAGTTACGACGTACTGGAATGGGAGCGCTAAAATAGTTTTTAACAAGTACCTGAACTGCAACGTTTCGGGGCCTCTTTCCCAAAAATCATCAAATTTTAGTCAGCAAACTGCCTCCAAATTTTTGACGTGGACACGTCATACTACCCTACCCCTGTCCTAAAGAGGTTTTCTCTTGTGCGGGTAACTTAATTGGATCCCCCACCCCTGCTATGCCAGCGAATCCAACTTTTACACCCCTCTCAGAATCAGTTAGGATGGCTCGTGCATGATTTCAAAACAGGTATTTTCATCCTGTCGCTGACAGAAAAAAAGAAAAAAGGGGTCGAAATGCATTTTAACGATGGGGGATGTCTCTGTGGGGTAATATCCCCAGGGGTAGTGTTATTTGTTCCGATTTTCTAATGTCAACAAGGGGAAATGGACGGGTGATTCGCGGCATGATGAGCTAGGGGGTCCAATACGCAGGGGTACGCAGATCGGGGGATGGAAGTTGAGTTTACCAAGAAAGAGTCGTAAGACCACTGCAAGTAGACTTGTTTTTTAGGCCTCGTGGTGGGGTGCTTTGACAGGGGGAAAGTGAGGTGGGGTGGTGCTTTCCTCTACGATTGCAAAGACCAGCTACCCCTACCCACTAATTACACCTTGAAAAAGACTATCAAGAAGGGGTTCTTGAGAACCCCTGGGGATACAAAGAGGGGTGGGTCAATGGGGTAAAATCCAGTGCTGACCGGGAGTAAAAAAGACCGAGGCATGACGGTCAAGTAGCGGGGGAGTGCCCACGGGTCACTGGCACCACATAGGAGGGCTTGAGGGTACGGTGGGAAGGGGGCCGGTCACGAGGGTCTGCTTTGGTCGCGTGATCAGATCGGATTGTCATTCAAAGACCGCGGCCTGGCTGGCGACGGTCACCGTCCTGGCACGGTTCCCAAGGCCATCGGAGGCTCCGGTGCCGCCCGCCAGTGGGCCACAACCGTCACGGCCCGGCGCCGGCCTCCGCTCGGAGGCTCACTCGGATCGGACCGGGCGCCGCGGCCGGGCGGTCGCCCGGCACCGTTCTTTACTCAAAGCACCGTTCACTGAGATTAGGCCGCGACAATGTGACGGCCCGGCCCCCGACTGCCGCGCCGGGCCCGGCCGGCGGTGCCGCTTAGTAGTTTCACCGCGCCGGGCACTGAGGCCCCGGCGGCCGGGCAGGGCCGGGTCAGTACAATAAAGTTTTGCCACTGGAACAAATGGAAAGTAAAAAAACTTTCAATGATCACCGCCTCATCAGTGTTAATTGAAGGGCGATACGATTAGGACTGATCTTCCACCTTGTTCCTTCTCCGAGACAAACTGGGTTTCCCTTTGTGCTTGCCTCATCACGTAAGACTCTATGGGACATGTCAAGTCAGCAACATCACAAGATGCCCTAGTATCATCGAGTGTGAAAGCAGATCGGATTGCAGCACTTACAAGATGGAAAATCAAAGGTTGCAAAGAAAGCAGCATCTACGCCAAGCGTTCCTTGAAAGAACAACTCAGAACAGGAGCAAGGAAACGAGAACAAGTTTCATCTCGGCTCACCTTCATGAACTCAACGATCGTGTCAGTGTTCCAACTGTCGATTCGAATCTTGTCGATCTCTCCTCCCTTCTCATCCTTGAGGTACTGCAACCACCGTTCAACACTGAATGTGCTTCTCACTTCCTTCCCGCTCCTCCTCCCTACCAGAGTTGGAGGAGCTCCACGCTGGTATCTGACGCTAACTTTAGGAAATTGTTTCGCCTGTCAACAGTGTCAATATTCTTCCCTAGCTGGATGCATTTCAGAGTTCCCAGACCTTCTCATCGATGAATGTTACGACATCAGGGAAGGCGGCTTTCTTTCATTCACAGATCTCAAGCACACTGCAATCTACGTCATGTCAGGGGATCAACATCATATCAGGTACATGGAGGCGGCCTTTGTGAGACCAGACGCGTCGTCCACGTCCTCGCTACAGCACGATCGACACTCGGAGACTAGATCTGTGTCTTTGATGCTTTCCTCCAGCCTGCCCAACGCGTCAGGCTCCCTGAATCCTCTGCTCCTCCTCCTCCTCTGCCATGTTGCCCCTCCTGCTGTTCTCCTCCAGCAGCAGTCTCACCTTGTGCATTTGGAGCACACCAGGGTTTCAGTGAATCCTAGCTCGCGACAGCTTGCATTTTTCTCCGCCAGCACTCCACTCGTTGCCAGCAGCAGAGCCAGGGAGGCGATGCAAACCGCCTGCTCGTCGGAGATCACAACAAGAACATCAGAAACACCTCCTCTTCATCACCTTCATCTTCCCTGACCCTTCGGCAGGCCGACAGTGAACCTGCCATGCATCTATCACCAAGTCCGCACAACCTCGAACATTCTTCGCCATCAAGAATCTCCGGATCCAACAACAATGTCTCTATCCCACCCTCCCACGTCCTCGACCTCGTCCTCTAGTTCATGGCAACAAACCCCACCATTCCTCATCGATCACTTCATCTCCCTCTCGCAAGATCTCCTGTGGCATTTTCAAACTCTCCCTTGACGCCATCTTGCACTTCATGGTATTAATCGTGTCATCGATTCGCTCGGTCTTACAGCCTCCGCCACTTCTAACATAATCGGCACCGTATTCCTCATAGTCAAGGCTGATGCTGGTGGAAAAGTACAGTCTTGATGTTCTAGTTATGCCATAGCCTGGAAACCATCTGATGCTGATCCTGGAAATTCTCCTGCTGATCCTGATCCTGATCCTGCTCCTGCTCCTGCTCCTGCTCCTGATCCTGCTCCTGCTCCTGCTCCTGCTCCTGCTCCTGCTCCTGCTGCTGCTGCTGCTGCTGCTGAAGCTGATGCTCCTCCTCCTCCTCCTCCTCCTCCATGCTGCTCCTGCTTCTCCTGCTCCTGCTCTTGATACTGACCCTGATCCTTCTCCTCTCTCCTCCTCCTGCCCCTCCTCCTCCTTCCCTTCCCTCTCTCCTCCCCTCGTTTCATTGTGATAAAAATCTCCTCCGGCATGCTCTGGCAAGTTTCACCTTCCAGCTACCCCCTTTAACAGTACCCCCACCCACTAAATATCCCAGGTCCTCTGTTCACCCCTTTGTTTATAATGAAAATTTCGGGTCAAATAGCACATCAGTATAACCGGTCATACCCATCACCCCATTATCTGAAGACCTAGGACCCCCCTGGGAAGCAGGTTTGCTTCGATGAGTTCTATGGAATCACACCGGTGGGTGAGGACTTTGAAGGGGTGGTCATGTGAAATAATGAGAACTGGGTATGAAAATGTGGGGTAGTGAAAGAGAAAAGTACCGGTACAAAAATGTTCAGGGGGTGTACTGCAACAAAGTGGGGTTACACATTAGCACTAAATAGAGAATTGTTTCTTATGTTTAATGCAAATGGCTAAATTTAATGTGAAAACATCGCAATCAACGCTAAATCAAAGAATCCAGCATGGTGCTGCAGCGATTTCGAGCAGGAGCGGGATGGCGGCGTCATTTCCGCCTAGAGGCAGCGGCGAGCATGGCAGGCAGATCGCTGATTCTCATCAGGCATGCACAGTCCATGAACAACTGCATCCAACTGCAGGTAATGCTTGCGGACTGCAACGTTCTTGTCGGACTGAGTCAGAGTAAGAGAGTTGTTGGTAGGAGGAGGAGGAGGAGGAGGAGGAGGAGGAGGAGGAGAAGGAAATTAAGAGGGAGGGACATTTAGAAACAGATGCCTTGTTGTCATGACCACAGCTTGTCCTCTCCCGTGAACTGTCTTGCAACCTTTAAGTATCCGGGGCAGGTGGAAGAAGAGATGCGCAAAGGGAGGTTGACTGCGGAACAGGTTCGATCCACCAGCATGTGCGCTCTCACTGACGAGCCTCCCTCCTCACAAGGCAACATCAACCTGGCTTGCGTCCAGATCTGTAGACCCTGGCCTGTCCCCGCAAGGGAAGGAAGAAGCGATAAGGACCGGGCAGCACATCAAGCGGATACTGGGGGAGGGAGGCGAGCTGATGTCGAGCCCGATGCTCCGAGCCATCGAGACGGCTGCGCCCATCGCCATGGCGCTCGGCATCCCGTGCAGGGTGTCGCCTCTTGCGTGCGAGGTCGGGGGGATGTACGAGTGGAAGGATGGCAAGTACCTCCCTGCCGCTGGGCTGTCGGCTGCAGCAATCAGGGAGCGCTTTCCTTTCTGCCGCACGGAACTGCTGAAGCAGGTGGAGGAGGAAGTAGCAGTGAGGGGATGACGCGGTGAGCAGGAGGGCTCATGGAACGAGCTGGTCGGGAAGGAGACGGCGGAGCAGAACCGGGAGAGGGCGGAGAAGTTCGCGTCGTGGATCAAGAGGAGGGTGGTGGAGACACCAGCAGAGGAGAGGGGCTCTCCTCTCATCGTCGTGACGCACTCTGACTTCCTTGACCTCCTCCTCAAGGCTCTTTTCAGCGTCTCCGACACCTCCAAGAAGTTCGTCTTCAAAGTCGACAACTGTAGCTTGACCGAAGTCTTCCTCCCCATCGTGTTCTGCGAGGAGGGAAAGGAAGTGCCTGTCCTCAACTACTTGAACCGCAACCATCATACGATGTGAGCATTCCTCCTCCCCTTCCTCCTCCCTTCCATCATCCCCTCCATCATCCCTTCCTCCTCCCCTTCCTCCTCCCCTGTTTCCTCCCCTTCCTCCTCCCCTGTTTCATCCCCTTCCTCCTCCCCTGTTTCCTCCCCTTCCTCCTCCCCTGTTTCCTCCCCTCCATCATCCCTTCCTCCTCCCCATCAACTCTCCCTCTTCCTCGAACACTCTTCCCCGCTCCTTACCCCCACACCTCTCCACTTGTATTCGTTGAAACATCGGGTGTCACAAGTAAATGAGATGTTGTGGGCAACAAACATACGGATAAACGGCAACTTTGAAAGAACTTGGGTGGGTTGGACAGAAGGGTGCAGAGGACAGGAGAGGAGGGAGGGAGGGAGGGGGGGAGGGGGGGGGGGGGGAGGGTGGAAGGGGAAAGGAAGGGGGCGAAGGAGGGTAAACGGGGGCGGC